CAATTTGGTTTCCTAGCAGAGAAATCAACAATTGATGCAATTCACATCCTTCAGCAACTGCAAGAGAAGTACCTCGCAAAGCATCAACAACTATCACACATTTTTGTAGACCTTGAAAAAGCATTTGATCGAGTTCCCAGTGAAGTAATCAGGTGAAGTCTACGTCGACAACTCATTCCAGAATATCTTGTTCGACTTGTGATGGAAATGTATATGAATACTAAGACTCTCGTCAGCACAACGGTTGGAAACATAGATGCATTTGAAATCAGTGTTGGGGTTCACCAAGGCTCGATTTTCACTTCACTGTTATTTATACCTGTGATGGAAAAAATCACAAAGCTTGTTTTTGAAGCCATTAAGGTAGAGAAAGTCACATCGTTTCAATATCTAGGGGATGTTCTAGATTGTACTGGAGCAGGTGAAGCTGCTGTTCGAGCACGTATATGTGCAGCCTGGAATAAATGGCATCTCCTAGCCTCTCTATATTGATGCGGCGTGACATCCCACTACCACTATGATCAAGACTTTATAAATCTGTGATACGTCCGGTGATGTTATATGGTGCAGAAACATGGCCAATGACAACCAAACTGAAACAACAACTTCACCAAACCGATATGAAAATGATCCAATGGATGCAACGAAATAGTCTAAAGAACCTCATCAAATCTACCGAAATTCTGCATCGTTCTGGTTTAGATGATATAAAGGACGAATGCTGGCAACACCGTCTGCGGTGGTTTGGTCATGTCAAACGAAGTGGAAACAGTACCATAACTTCTCTTGCAGATGTTGAAGTACCTGGCACACGTCCCAAAGGTCATCCAAAAAAGTCCTGGTCACCAACAATCGAGCAAGACATGAAAGCTCTAAATTTAAAATAAATGAAATGGAGATATATATATATATATCTATATATTATGTTATTATTATTCATTATATATATATATAATATTATAATAGGCTCAAACTAAAGAGTCAATATTGAATATGCCATCTTTAAAACAATTAAAAGTTAAATATAGACAGCAAGTTAACTTTTAAACTAGAAATAAGTTGTGTAACTACTAAAATAGCCAGGTCACTGGGTGTAATCAATAGAGTTAAATTTTACTTACCTAGGAGATCATTGATTTTACTGTACAATTCAATATGTCTGCCTCATCTTGTATATGGCAACATCATCTGGGCGTCGACATATCCTTCGTTAACATTACCATTACAACGTTTGAAGAAAAAAGCTATGAGAATTGTTACTCATGCAAAGTTTCATGACTCAACTAAATCATTGTTTCCGTTGACAAATAGCTTAAATTTTATTGATCTTCACAGATATTTTTGTTCAATATTTGTTTTCAAACAACAAGCAGGATTATTACCACCTATTTTTGGTGATTATTATAAATTTTTCTTGAATAATAGATATCATAATATGATCAAGTGTATGTAACAAGTCTAAAACAAACATTTTGTTTTTTCATGTTTTCTGTAATGGTCCGCGAATATGGAATAATTTAATAGCTAAATATAACTTGAACACTATTTTGGATGCAAGACTGAATATTTTCAAGAAAAAGCTAAAGGCAATTTTAATTAACAAACAACATAACCTTGTTTAAGTGATTTATATTGACAAAATTATATGTTAATGATGGTGATGACAATAGTGATGATGATGGTGGTAACGAGGATAATTGGTGGTGGTGGTGCTGATGGTGTCTGGCGTTTTGCATGTTAATAATGGTGATGGGGATTGAAGTGATGGTTGTGGAGATGAGGATGTTTAGTGGTGGTAACGGGGATGTTTGGTGGTGGTGATGGTGTTTAGCGATTTACATGTTAATGATGGTGATAGTGATGAGGATCGTGGTGATGGTTGTGGTGATGAGAATGTTTGGTGGTGGTGGTGCTGAAGGTGATGACTTTTGTTTATAATGATAATTTTCTTTTGTATTTTTTTAATTATTGTAAAAACTGGTAAAATTATGAGTTTTTTTTTGTAGTGATTTAGATTACAGAAATAATTTCATTTTTTTTAATTTGATCACTTTGTAATTTTGTATTATATCAGACTGGTTTTTTATTTATTTTTTTGAAACTATTTGCAAGGTGGCTATGCTAGATGAGTTACATGATAACTTGATCATAGTCATCCTGTCTTCTATTCTTTTTTTGTTAATTTTTTATAAGCAAATAAAAGTATCGTAAAATGTATAACAAAGAAAATGTCTTTAGATGCATAAATGTCCAAAATCAAATTAAATTTAATTAAATTCTAAATATAGCTTATTCAACAGATATATTTAATATTAGATTCAAAATTATTATAAATTTTATGATCAAATTATCAAGTGTACAGAAACTCAAAAATATAAACATAGACTATCACTATACTATACCACAGTATAGACGTGTGGTATAGAGAATAGATAAAGTTAAGCAGCCAACCTTCGTCAGTGGATCTTAAATCTTTTCCTCTTGAAAATCTATAGGAGGAATATCCAGATTTCCTTAACATCCTATCATCGTCCATCTCAAAATCGTCGTCTGCAGTGTCGAAACCTGACTTCTTTTCTGAAGTGGTTGTTAAAACTTCACGAGTTACCTTGTACATTTTCGGAAATTGGTGCAATTATCTTATTTTATTTAATAATTAACTATTACTAAACTTTGTATAATATGGTTCGGCTGGTTTCAGTAAGTTAATTACAAACAACACCAAGCGGAAAATATCAAGTGTTGTTATGCTAGTACCAAATGATCCAATTAATTATTAATTAATTATTAAATGTACTTTTTTATTAGTAGATCAAATTAACTTTTGAATAGCAATAAATCCATTTTAGGATGAAATCTTAGCTGAAGATTTTAATTTTATTAAAATTAGCAAACAAAATACAACAAACAAAAGGAGCAGACGAATTTTCAACTTAGGATGAAGGAAATATTTAGGATAGAGGCATACTTTTTGATAATTACACAAACATCTTTGTTACCTTTTAAACGCAGGCAGCTCGTTCAATACAAAAATATTCAAGCTCCGTACTAATACGGCGATGTATGCGATTCATACATCACATACATATTCACAACTATATCATACAGAACGTGCATTAGCCGTATATTTACACACACACATACATAATATATAACAACTGTAATTCGTTATATGAGGAATTACTTTGGTTATTTATATACTGCAATATAAAAACTTATTTATATAATGCAATTTCCAGACGTGCCTACGAGCACATACAAAACAATATTGTGCGGTTTTGAGAACAGAAATACAAACAAATTTCAAGACAATACTTTTAGATGGAGTACATAAGGTTTGGCTTAATGTGTTCTTATGTACATGCGTTCATTTAGTTTACACAAACAAACGCACATACAATCGTACACATGCAAATGTTTCTTAGTGCAACGCACGCGTGAACCTGTTTGACTCGAGCGTTTTTCATTAGCATAGTAGGTTCAAAAAAAAAACACAATTGTAGCGTTCCGCAATTTGCCGAATGATTTATCGATCATTTGCTAAGCTGTTGAACTTGTTTAGAGTAACATTCATGTAATTTTCAATTGATTTAATTAAAGGATGTATTTATGCACAGGAGCTTATTATTCCTTCGTTATGTTATGTGCTCGTCCATCTGCCTACATTATGCAGAGCCACTGGCGTAATGGACGCACAGCACACGCAGTGTTGTTGCAGTAGGTAGGTATGTTTCAAGGTATGGAAAGGGGGTTGGTAGCGTAAGGTGAATGAAGGCGTGCGGTGGACGGGAAATCAATGGATGTCATTTCATTCAATAGAAGGCATGTGGACAAATTAGAAATAAATCAGCCGTTTCTCTATTTAGTTAAAGCCGACAAAATTTTACTTAGTTTTACTTTTAGTAAAAATTTAACAGCAATCCGTAACTGTATCAAGGTATAAGGCAAGCAGTTTTATTTAAAGTTAATATTATAAAGATTCCATCTGTAATTGATAACAACTGTTATAAAATGTTTAAATATAAATTTAAGAAGGAATGTTTTGCAAAACATAATCGACATTATATAAAATATAAAGTTGGTAAAAATTCAAAAATATAAAAAGGCACTCAAATGAACATGATTTTAATAACAGGATGGGTGATACGAATAACAATTAATTAACAACTAATAACACAAAAACAACTTGAATACGCAAGATTAAAATGTATAAAAACAATTATAAATTGTTTTTAGTAATTCAACGACATTACGCGACCGACTTTGGTAAACTTTTCCCTTTTCGAAACAGAATTTTGTTCAGTCCCAATTACTTCATTACGGAAAACTCCGTCCTCAACGTCTTCATCACTTTCAATTATGGAGTTTACAACTTGCCTAACTTGCTTTGATTTCATTTTCGGTTTAATATCTCCCAATTCTTCATCTTTTCCAGTTTTATCCGTAGCTACGTCCTTTTTCTCCCCCATAAATAAACCTCTAGTACTGCGACCATCAAATGCTTCATAAAAGAAAAGACATTGTTCCAACGCGAAAGAGTAAGCAGTCGTTCCTAATGAAGCTTGTTCTAAAAAGGCGTTCAGTGTGAATGTAGCCCCAAGGTTTAACAATATCTTGTCCAACCTGTCTCTTGCTATGAACGGTAAAGGTTCAGGACCTGTCAGTACACCAAATAAAATAAATAGAAAAAAAATTATATAGAACATTGTTATGACCTAATTTAGAAACGAGCTTAAGTAACATTTTGTTGCGTTAGGTTAATATAATACAATAATTAATAAGCATAAAAATGCAAAAAAGATTACTTGATGTAATATACTTTGGTAGCAGACAATCATATTTAATGTTTGATTTGAAATTTCGAGTGGCATGTTCAATGGTCAGGGTTCTCATCTCCTTCCTCATGTCCTCCAACACTTTTATTGACTGCTCGTCTGAGAAGTAGAGCTCATCCAACTCACCTAACAAATTCTGATTAATTATTTTAATTAAAATATAAATCAGCCTAAAAGATTTATTATGTTTATAAGATATACCTCATCGGGCTTATGAGCATTCATAATAAAAAGTAGCGAAGTGTAGTAAGCTTCAGGAAACTGTTCTGGTAAAACGTGCGCTAAATATTGGCTGTCGATATTTTTAAATTCTTTGGTGATGGGAGGGGCTTTCATCATAGCCGGCACGTCGGGAACGTATCCAAATAAATCAAGGGCATCACTATGGGTAGCTGAGTGCTGACACGTTATAGTGAATATAATGCTGGATAACAATTCACCAAGTTCTTTCAAATTCGAAGGCCTGCACATTTTTGAATCGCTTGACAAGTTTGGAATATTTGCATAATTATTTGCAAAAGGATGTGTTTCACTAGTTGAATTATTTTTCGTTTCGACAAGGTTCAAAGGGTTAATAGTTTTTACAAAAATTTTTTCTAAATTTTTGTTATGGTTAAAATTTTTATTATTTTCATCCATGAGAGAAGAGTTTATTTCATCATAAACACTTTCACTTTCGGAAGGCCTGTGTAAATCGTTTGAGTAGACATTTTGTTGTTGTTGGCGCAAGTTCTTTATATCGAGTTGAAGACTATTTGAATGAAAGTCTTGGTTGTGATGGTTTGATGCTTGTTTATTGATGTTGTCCACCGTAGAATCAACTTCATCAAAGAAGAATTGTCGATTCCCACTAACTTCAAGAGGCGGAGCACTGGGAACCAAGGGGTAGGATGAAGATACGTCGGAAGGAAAGTTAGAAAACTTTTTATTCAAACTTGAATCATTAGGGAAAAAATGCCCAGGAAATCCAAAATTTGAAAGTTCGTCAAACCAACTCGCGAGTTCTTCATCTTTAAGAAAATCTTCGGGAGTCCCATAATGTATGTTGAGTAATTTATCACAGCAGTTATTGATGCAATCAAATAATCTCAGTGCATCATCTCTGTAAATGTACCCGGGAAGATGTGACGCAACAGAAACTTCACGTCTCTCGAAATCTTTTCTAGGATTCAGGTGATCAAAATGAAATTGTGACCAATGTCTTTCCATGAGCTCCTGGAATCCAAGTCGACCGAGTGAGGTGTACTTGTCGACAGCACCATTCTCACTCAACAGTTGATGCCTTATCAATGTATTGGAAACCAACAAGTACCTTAAATAGATGATACAAATGTATCAGTAACAAAAATGTAAACAACAAACCGCATTTCAAAAATAAATCGCCAATAAATAACTCATAATTATAAGCAATAATTTTTAATTACATACCAGAGATATTAATCTACGAATGCATTTAATAATATTTTACAACAAGTCTTTCATTTTCTACAATCGACATTAACGGAAAAGGAAAAATATTCCAGAAATGAACGTTATTTGAATGAAGACTGACATTTATTATTATTGTTATGTGTAAAGAGGAGCTACCTGAAGTGAGGTAAGAGAATTTTGTAGCACGGATGGCTGGATGGCAGGCACCTCATGGTGGCAATGAGGAAGGGTTCCATGAGGAAGTGACAGTTGAACAGGTGGGAAACGGCAAACTGGTAGTTGAAGTCGCTACAACGCACCCATCTGCAGTTTCACAGTTGTTTAAAATCATTCAAGGCAACAAATGGAGAAAATTATTACTATCACTTTGTAAATGCGGTGAGTGTATAAGTATTACGCATTTGATTATTATTGAAAGGCGCTATATAAATTCTCCGATAATAATTATAATAATAATAAATAATAATATTAATATATTAATATTAATAATACGTGAGTTCTGTGCAACAAATCATACTTATAGAAATTATACAAAAGGTGTTACTGGAAAATGAAAATGGATACATTATTGACAAATCAAACTGTAGTACTAACGCTATAATAAATAAGAAGTAAGGCAAAAAGCAGAATACACCAGAAAAAAACTAACAGCTTGGCTAGCAGCCAGCCTTCCTTATCGTTGGGAGTCCAGATTGGATTGCTGTCAGAAGCAGGTTCCTGATTCAACTGTATAGCCAATGGCAGAAGTGTTTCGACATCATTTAAATAGAAGAGAACGATTGGCGAGGCGATGAACCGGTGGTCAGTGTTGTGATGGGTTGTAGTTATCTTGTTGAGAATTTTGTAGTCAACAATGAAGATACGACCGTCCTGTAAAACATAAGTGAAACATACACGGATACGTTTACTAAAAAACTTCTGCAATTCTTTGTAAGGAATAAAATAATAAATCAATACACTTTCATTGAAGATTAATGAAAATATCAACTTTGTCATAAAAAATTATTTTATAATTTTACATATAAGATTTCGGATGATTTATACTTTTTGTATTTAGACTTTGAAAAAGTTAACCAATTGAAAAAATTAATTTAAATTTTGCAACCATCAGCTTAGAGATTTGTTTAGAAAATTTATCAATATATATATAAATATTTCTGTATCGCAGTTTGTCTGATAGACAATAATGATGACGATAGCAACAAAAACAAAAATAATAATTATAATAATAACAATAATTGTAAAAAATTTATAATCAACAGACCTCTATTGCTTGTTGCAAATTGTAACCATCTAAAAACTGGCGCACCATAATATTTGTCACAGGAAACTTATTGGGCAACTTGGTGCACTTCTGAATAAGCACTGGATTTGATCCCACCAGGAACAAATTGGCAAAGTCTTCATCCTTGAGTACAGCGTGGCACATATCCCCAGGACTTCCATCAGGAAGTTTTGACTCCATATCAAATGTTGAGTGCAGATTCAAATATCTGCTCCTAAGAAGACAAGGTCAACCAACGATGACTTCATTCTTATTAATTAGGCAATGAAAAGTGTACCCTTTTATCTAAATTTAACATTTATATCTTTACCAATGCATTATGGCAGAGATGAGAAAACTTCTTCTTCAACTGAGCCGCATACATTCAAAACTATCATAAACAAGACTCGTACACAAACAGCCATTGTAGAAACAAAAATGTTGTCACAATTACGAAAAATTAAAAAAAAAGTTGGACTTGAAACAAAAAAATAAAGAGATCCAATTGCTAGTTTGGTTGAAAGAAAATTTTGAAAATCCAGAGAATCAGAGTGTGACGTAATACAACTATAAAGCACATTTATCAATCAAGCAAACAGTAACAAAATTAATGATACATTTGCATATAATAATAATTGCTACTTGAACAAAATTAATTTACGAATCTGGAGTTAATGCCGATATCGTGCTATGGAAGCTACATGATTAAACTCTTTCAAAATTATGGTCAAAATTATGCTTGCTTGGCTTTGAATATATTATAATATATTTATATTTATAGATTTGTCCATATTTATAGATGCGTCCATAAAATACTGTTGCAGTAGTCGAGTTTCTAATCGAATGTATTTTTTCGTACTCCGGTAACAGCCTTCACACCGTGCAATTGCGGATAACAGTCATAACAGAATAACATAGCATAACATATATAACAAATATAGCACGCAGACGGTTAGCACAAACGCAAAATGAATATTAAACCCAGCCACGTCGGTTAAGTTGAAACCGTAGCTGATTGAGTAGCTGACTCGGATCGGGTGAGTCCGTGATTCTTCATTTATTTGCGTACATTTGATGGGTAGCAGGCAAATTCAATTGTTAAACCGTCGAATGACGCAACTGAACTACTCGCTAAAATCCGTATGTCGTCAGTAAAAACATTTTTTAATTATGCCGATAACTTCCGTGGTTTAAAAAAAAAAACAACGATCCCAGAAAACCACCCAGTGGAACACCAAATGACACTTCTTAGCTTTGGAAAAGACGCCACTGAAAACAATTTGTTGATTCAGTCCCAATACTTAAACCGTGTTACAGTGACTCGTCGACAAAATTTTAAAATTTTATACGCCTATACCTAAAACGCCAGTAACGAAATATGTTGTGCATTTATCAAAGCAAACATTTATCAGTGCAGTCTCGGTGACACAAAGCAGGCGAAAACTAGATTGAAAATAATTTTTTGTAGATAGAAAACCAAATCAAGTGAAATACTCGCAGGCCGCTTGAAATGTACGATGCGCTGCATTCGACTAGCAGTTCGCCTACCTCTGCAATTTTGCATTAAGTTATATAATTAAACAGAAAATATGTCAACAGTGCAACATAATTGGATAAAAACATACGAGTCAATACAAACCCATCAACACAGTCATTTTTGAGGCATTCAATGTGGTAGCCCTTTTGTTGCCTTGTTATTGAGTTGGGCCTCAGTCTAAAAAAGTTGTTTCCAATTAAATTTTTATTTCTATTGCTTAAAGTAGTACAATAGTTTCAATTAATCGATTTCAAATTATTTGAAAATATTAAATAAAATTTGAATGATTCTAAAACTAACGATAATTTCAGTCATGTATATGTCATTGAGCGTTGGTTATTTAAAAAATTTAGATAAAAAAAATTTGACCAACTTTTTAAAACTACTTTTAACTCTTTTCACAATGGACTTCCTGTTTGATAGCGGATCATCCTGGCCATCAACCTCATCATAGCCGACAATATGACTCTTTCTCGTAATGTACTTCTGGTGTTTTGTGTTCCCATGATATTCATCCGAAAACTGCTTCATAAAAATTGGTCTCTTTGATTTGTCTGATGCTTTGTTTGAAGCACGCATTTTCCGCGTTTCCTTTGGCTTTTTCAACAATTTGGCTTTTTTCATTTTTCCTAGCAATGATTTTGATTTAGCGGATTTATCTACTGCCAAACGAAATCGAAATTCTCTGAAGAAATCAATCAGTTTGGGATCGACTTCCCATCGAACACCTGTGTACTTGGCTGCACGAGATTTGTGTCGTTCAGGTAACTTGTTTACCTGTTGAGGATTACGAATCTGCCCTGGAAGCATGACACCTGATGATGTTGACGAAGAGGAGGAGAGTTTCTTGTCATCTTTTTTGTCCCATAAATATTCACACTTTCTTTCATTAAGCTGAAATAATCTTTCTTTTTTGCTAACCTGGTAGAGCTCGTTGTGAGCCAGATAGGCTGAATTTGAAGGAAATAAAAATAATTAAGCCATCTTGTATGTTCCAATGGATAGAAATGTCATTAGAAAATTTCTCAGCTATGAAATGAAACTGCATGTCCTCAAAAAAACGTTATAATGAAAAGCCAAAGAGATATAAGAAATGCTATTTTAAGCGTGAATATAGAAAACACGAAACACATTAATCAAAATCTTACTTTAAATGGGATAAAAAAAAACGAAAAAAAAATTGTTGACAATAAAAACGTCACAACAACCTCCTCCATACCTTCTCCAGGAAGTAACAAAATGGGATTCTCTACAACCTCATAACATGGAAAGGTCCATGATTTGTTTTGTTTGACATCTTCAACTGTTAAACTCCTGAGAAACCAGGACTCAGTAATGTGTCTGTTGTAATCGAAATATTTAAATAATCATTTACTTTAAGCCGAAATCATTACTAATTTCAACATTTTCTTTAAAGGTAATCCTATTAGATGTACCGTGACACAATTAAAAATTTAGATTAGAAATATATCAAACAGACCTGTAGTAAACCTCAACAACAACGCCAAGCAGATCATCTACAGTGTCATAATTCGTCCTGAACACTTCCTTTCTGTAGTGCTTCACTTTCTCCCAGTTACCTTCACGATTTTCCCTGCTGAGAACGAGAGGAGAGCTTCTGCAACGTTTTCCTGTGGGGAGGGGTTGATTATTGCTGTGAAGAAGAAGATGATCATTGTGTGCCACATGTGCGATCGTTCACAATTTCATACGCGTTAAACAAAGTCGGCATTACTGTCGCTATTCATTTATACAATGCACGAAAAAAGTTTACAACGCTGGCTGATTTATATTAACCTCTGAAAACAACCAACCAATTAGAGTAACGTAGACCTCAACGAAAGGTATCGGTCTACTTTCTTTCAGAGATTCAGAAAAAATGGTTATGATGTAGGTGGTGTTCAGGGCTCCTTCAGTCTTCTCCTTCACTGGATCACATATCTGAGAGACCTCCTGCAGTCGACAACAAACTAAATTAATTAATTAATTAATAATGGTACAAAGAAAGCACATTCTGTTTTTGAAAAGTCATCATATATAATGATATTATAATAACATTTTATTTCATTTAGACGCAAAACGAAGATTGATTGATTTTATTTCATTTAGATGTGGGCACATGTTTTTCGCGCCAATCATTTCTTTATGTTTATGTTTTATGTTTATATAGGATGATTGGAAGATGTTGTCATATAAGTTGTATTTAAGGAGCAAGTTGTGGTTTCAAATGGAAATATGTACATTTGAACAATAAGAATTATTTTTTAGCGTGAAACAACAACAAACAACCTTCCTCTCCATTTCTGTAAAGGTGCTAATCATAACTTTCTGTAAACTGAAAGGATCCTGAGGAGAACGAGCAGTGGGAAATCCAATACCGGCAGGATTGTCGGCCATGTTGAACGTTGTTCGTCTGAGAGCCTCTGATGCCACATGTGTGGTGAGTTCAATTCTCATCAGACGACTCCACGGAAACTCATCTTCATTCCATAGCTTACAATGAATTTTTAAATTATCACTGAAACCAGGCAGGAACACATGACTGAGCATAACAACAGAAACAAGAACAATTTAATCCACAAACGTTTACAAACATTAATTTTTAGAGTTTTGCATTAATCATATACCCTACCAGCTGTGGATTGACATGATCGAAATCTCTGGATTGAGGTCCCATTTGAACATCCATGTAGAACGTAACAGGTTCATCTCTCCACAAGCGAGTTTTGAATTCCTGTCTTAAATAATTATCATTCCTCTCGTCTTCGTCTGCTGCTAGAACCAACCAAGGTGCATTTTGTTCCTCTACTGTCAACATTCCACTCTCCAAAACCTAATAAGTCAACGTTAAAAACAATAAAAATGAAAATAGATGGAGTAGCAGATGCTTATTTAAAAACTTCTTCAACTTATTACCAAATTTTTTGTATATAAAGAACTTCAGGAATGTTTGAAATTAAAATTGATATAAATGGACCTGCTTATCTTCGGCGAAATTGACTTCATCATACTTGGCAGCAGCATGAACAGGGATCAATCTAAACTTTACAAGTTGCTTCTTCTTGTTTGGCATTGTAACTCGATAGCATAGTTGTGAGTAGTAGGTTAGGTCTGCAAAAGATGAAGGCCCCCTCCTTATACTGTCCACTAGGGCTCTGTATCTGCAAATGAAAATTGCAACATGCAAAAAATAGACGAAAAAATCAATAAAATAAACTGAATTTTAAAACAAATAATGCATACACATAAGGGTTTTTAAGGCACCACTTCTCCATATCATCTTCATTTTTTAAATTGAGCATCTGCAAAAATGTAGAGCTATCTCTGGCAAGAGACATGCGACCAGTTTGAAAGAACAAATCAAATGGGCCATCGTGGTCTTGATCCACAAACTTGATGACAACCTCTCTTATGCATCCATCTCTGTCGTCCTTGCAGTTAACATTACTCACCCTGCATTTTCAAAATACCTACATCAGTAACAAAATTTGAGTGAAAACATGTCCAAACAATTCAATTGCAACTCAAAATAAGTTTCCACAGCAAATTGTACTTCACCTAAATCTTATTTTATAGTTGTGGTCTTCATTGAAGAATTCACAATTCTTAATGGGATTGTCGGAAATGACGTAAGCATAACCTACTGCTCCTACCGCGTGGTACCTCTTCAGCATTGCCGGCAGCTTCTGCCTTTTAGTTGAAACCATTTTCAGGGCATTGTGAGAAGCCAGTGACAGAGCATTATGACCCAAGACATTTGTTATGCACGATGGTGAGGCCTTATTAATATAAATAAAAATAATTTGAAAAAAATTAAAAATCTAGAATTTTGAAACATAAAATCAAATATTGTCACATATTTTACTACGCAACAAAAACAAATAATAATTTGAAATTTGCATTACATTATAAATAAATTTGTTGCGTGTTCGTTCTTCTAATTAAACTAATGAAATGAATTAAATTCAGTTTGACCAATGTAAATTTAGAAAAAAACTTGAAAAACTAACTTCTCTTTTTTCTTCAAGTAATTTATTAAATTTTTCATTTCCCAGTTTTTTCCTTAATATTTCCCAACTAAAATTTGTCCACATTTCACACTAGCACCTGAATCAAATCAATCTTCTTTAAAAAATAAAAAAAAATACTGGACAAAATTTTCTTTCAATATGACATAATCAACAGGGGCTGGAGGTATTCATTAGTGATCAGAAAGGGTCTGTTCTGGCGTGTTACTACATAAGTTGTCTGTCATTCATTTGCTGGAAAAAACAATTAAAATCTTTGCAGGCAGGATATTTTGTATTGTATTGTATTACATTTTATTGTATTGTATGCTGCCTTTTCATGTTAAAAAATGTACAAATGATTTCAAGTGCTCCTAGAGGCTTGTTACATACGCTTTGTTAAAGCAGATTTTTTTCCTCAACAGACTTTATGGCAATCAATTATAATTAAAAAAACTGCTAAAAAGATATAAAAATGATCACATATACGATCATATACAAAAATGTAATTATCTTGCAGAATGTTGGAGTGTACATTTTGAATACCAAATGGTAGGATTATAAGGAGGCAAAGTTTCTTAAACATAGGATTCAAAAACATAAATATAACATGGACATTAAGCCAAGTAATTCCTAACATAATATTAATTAGAGTGGTGAGTAGAGAGTGGATTTCCCAACTGATTAATGTACTTATGGAAAATTTAATAAATAACAAAACAAGAATGGTTGCCATTAGTAGCAGCCCAGTGACCTGCCACTGAGTTGCTGCCCGTGTTTGGGATTGCCAATGTCCACACCAACCACAGCAGAAACAGTATTACTTGGTACCTAGGCCAAAGCACCACCGAAGTAGCGATGACGAAGTCTTTTGTAAATATCATACAGGTCTAAATCCATGTAGTACTCATTTGATAATATTGCATTCATGTCATAAGCGTTGTCTGAAATGGGTTGTAACATTCAAACACTACTATGATATTATGTATCTAAATGCAATGTCCATTCACATTAAAACTCTTCTGCTGAGAAGTGATTAACACTAAGGACTAAGATGATGAAAAATATGGTAGAATGGTGTAGGTGATGTCAATTTTTAATTTTTCACCTATAACTATTATAAATTAAATTATAATATTGCTGATTATTATTGTATATAATTATAATATATAATATTTTATTGTATATAAAAAATATTTGTATAATTTTTTATAGCTAGCATAACAAAAATTAAATGAATGCATCACAAAAGTTTCAGAAAAAGTAAATACTTTAAAATTAAATAATAATACTATGCATGCGAAGCTTGTTGTTTGTTTAAAATTAAGTATTCAAAAAGAATACTTCAGCAGTATGATATGATGTCAGATAAGGAAATTTCATCAGGCACAGACTCTAAAGAAAAAATAACTGAATTTGTTCAGGATGGATTTCAGCTGGTTCAACCAAAAAATCTTTTTCCTCTTCTGTCAGGTCAGCAAAATCTTAGCAAACCTGCTATGAAGCACTCCTCTATAAAAATGTTTGGCACAGGCAAAAAATGTTTCCTAAAATAATCTAAAATCACTGACTTACTATCTTGGTAATGTTGAATCTTGCAAAAAAGAAGTAATTGAGGACCATCTGAAGAATAACAATATTTTGTTTCCAGTATTTTATAAACATATTGCTGATCATGTTATGAATGTCAGCAAATCATCTTAACTCCAAATAATGGCTTTCAGAATAAATTTGCCAAAGGATAAAAGCAACATATTTCTTTGTTCGAAAATTAAATATTATTTCTACCTGTATTATTTTATTTACATATATTCAATGTTACTTGTATATACAAAATTATAAATGTATAAATTATTCATATACAATACATGTATAGTCATATATTTTATAATTTATATTTATTCTAAACATAAGTTTGTTTTATAAAAGATATCTGAGTTGTTAATATAAATATTTATATTTATTCAATGTATGAACACATTTAATTATTTTAATTTTTGGCTATTATCCAATCAAGAACAACATAATAATTGACATAATAATTATGTCAATAAAGAATAAACATTTTGCTTTTTTTTTATTCAATGTAATGACTATTTTAATTTATTTAATCTTAACTTTATTTGATAATTTTTCATTATTGTTTATAAACCTTTAAAAAAAACATAAACTTTATTTATGACATGTTGATGTTATGCCCTCACAAGCTTAGCTTCTAGGTTTATTTTTGAAATAAAATATAAATCATATCCATTTTTAATACCACTAGACTAGACTAGAGATCGGTTCATGGTAGTTGTTAAATTAAAGTTAAACTAAAAAAAAAGGTAATTCTAATGCTACTAACTAATACTACTAATAATGGTAAATGATAACATCATATTAAAAAATTAATTAAGGATAGATAAACAAACATTAAAAATTTAAAATTAAAGATTAAATTATATATTAATTAATTAATAAATAATAATCAAACAATAGTTAAAAACAATCAAAGAATAAATGTCAACAACATCTAACTTATAAGGCAAGCCATTAAATGGTTGAACCACATCCAGTTACGACCCAACTGGAAGATAAGAAAAAAAGGTAAACCCTAATTCTAATACAACAGGATCAGGCGGAGAAAATAAATAAAGGTAAACTAAAAATTAACTCTAATCAATAGAGCAAAGGCTTAAGCTAAATGTTCAACATTCGACTTAAATTTAAACTTGAACATATGAGATTAACGAGTTAAGGCCTATGCTTCATTTTATTTTCTATATATAAAATTAAATGGATAAATTGTATAATATATATATAAAATTTCCTATATATATAAAATTGTATATAAAATTTACGGGTATAATTATATGTATATATATATATATATATATATTGTATGAAATTTTTTGAGTGGGTGAGTGAGTGAGTGAGAGAGTGAGTGTATAAATGCTTGTAGGTATGTATGTATGTATGTGTAAAAGTGCACGTCAAATTTTTTGCCATGAGTTATTCATGACAATTACGTTTGCTTGTTGTTTAAAGTCTTATCAATATAAATATAAATATATATATTTATATATATATATATTTATATCTATCTATATATATATATATATATATATATATATATATATATATATATATATATATATATATATATATATATATATATTTGTGACGACAAATCCGCTGTTGCTTCCGATAACAAGTGGTATAATCACGGGGTATAATAATCTATGGAGGGAATACGAAAGAAAGAAAGGGCAATCCAACTGAATAAAAAGCACGTGAGCTTACATAATAACAGAATGATTGCTTTACGCGTCATATTTTTTATATTTATATTTCCCAATAAAAATTTTTTTAATGTAAAAAAATGTGTGGGTGTACGTGCGATTTTGTTTAAATTGCACATTTAATGTACCTAAAATTTAAGGCATCTTAAGCATGTGACTCCGTGGCGCAATGGATAGCGCGTCGGACTTCTAGTGGTTGAAGATGTAATTCGGAGGTTGTGGGTTCGAGTCCCACCGGAGTCGATTATTTTTTACTTTGAATAGATCAAAATTCTTGATCATCCATTTACCATTTATTTGAAAGAATTATAAAATTAAAAGAAGGTTAAGTAATTCAAGTGCCAAATCTTTTATTGTTAATCATCAAATTGGTTTTACTATCAGAGGTATTTGGTCCCAGTTTCAATGTTCATATCTAACAGCAACTTCATATTAAATTTTTTATTAATTTTTGCCTTATCTAATGAAGGTTATAAATGTTCATTATTAATTAACTAACTAACAAATTAACTACAACATTCACGATTATAGAACAACCTTTGTACAGGTTAGCATTTATATTCCACGCATGTTAAATGTTTTAATCTATACATTGAATGATTTCACGTTTACATTTGTGTTGCTCATCTAATCAGTTCGCTACAAAATTTAAATGTTAAAAATTTACAACTTATTCTAAAAATAAATAACAAACAAATAAAAATACAAAATATAAGAGCACATTGAACATTTTTATCGGAACTGAGATCATGAAAGGACTGATGTAAAATGTGACATTTTGACATTTATTTTGTATTCTAAATTTTCTAACTTGATCGTTTTTAACCAAAACATGCGGGAACTTCGTTACAAAGAATTAGTTACGTTTGTTTCGTTGTTCTTAGGTGCGTGTAATGATGTTGAATTGATGCAGTCTGAGTTTATTTTATGTCAATGTTAACGTTCCTTATATGTTATCACACACAAAAAACTGCTTGGAAACAGAAACGCCAAAGTAGAAGGAAACAGTTTCTCCCACTGGCTGATTAAGGTGGATCGGGGATGGCCTTCGTTATCAACGTAAATGCATATATGTTAAGTTTTAGCCAACATATGTAATAAAATCACGAGCTCAATGATATTACGTTAAATAGAAAACTTGTAAAAAAAATTATACAACAAGTCAAAAAAAGATCGGCAATTGGCCCCATAACAAAACTTTAGTCCAGTTTTTCCCTGTAAAAGTGTAATTCAATTTCCCCTTCGTCAAAATGGTCTGGATAAGTCCGTAGTTCTGGTTACTTTTATTTAATTATGAAATGTGCTTCTGCTTGCTTTGTTTATCCAATTTGCTTTAGATGATTGCCTCGTGAGCTCGCTTTGTTTATCCAATTTGCTTTAGATGATTGCCTCGTAAGCTTTCGGGTTGAAGGACCAGTAGAAGGCAGATGAAAATGTAATTTTTATGCCTGAAGTAGAGCACCTTTTTTCTATTTTTGCACAATACTTGGTGAGCCTTGGACTCTTTTGCCATTTTTTATTTTATATAGCATTCAGACATAAAATATTAAATCATTGTTTAAACTACGTCGATATTTGAAGGCGAATAAGCTAAGTTCATGTAAATCAAATTAAACAAACTAATGTTTATTTTAAATTATTTTTGCCTGCCGGCGACAAAAGTTTTAAAAAATAAATGTTATGAATATTGATTGCAAAGTTTATAATGCATGAGTACGTTGTAACGAAGTTCCTACAGCTTTTGTGTTAACTACATTTAAGTTTTTCGGTGAATGTACAAAACATGATAAACATTAGAGCTCCTTGAAGATATTGATTAATAATAAAATTGTAACCGATCTCAGCTCTATCAAATCAACACCACAGGAAACAGACGTGAGCGTTACATACATTATTAATGAAAACCTGCTACAATAATATTGAAGATCACTAACTGATGAACTTCTGACTACATTAATTTGTACCAACTTGAATAACAAATTTAAAATAGTTACTTGCAGAATTATTTACATCTGAAACAAACGTTGTAAAAAATTAACGAAGCCAAATTATAAATGAAAACAGATTATTATAAAGACATTATGAAAGAAAAAAATTTATTTTGAGATTGCAGTATTTATTCATCCAGACTAGCTATTCTGTACTTTTTTAAATCATATCAAAATGTGTGGATGCAGTCTTGTTACCAACTAAGCAGTTGACTGGATTGCACGCACGCACTTTCGAACATTTCACGCAAAATATTTTTTCGTAAAAAATCTCATTCTAAGTCTCTAATTGGTTTTCAATATTCTTTTATACGTTGCACAATAACATCTTAAATCAACAAGGACTTGAATGTATTTCAACGAGCACGTAATGCATCGCGAACATCAAATATTAAATAAAACAATTTTTTGTGTTAAAGTGTTAAACGTATAATCACCGAAAGATTGCCAAATTATGATTGAACTAAAAACATCGATACATGTAACAAATCAAAAACAGTAAAAAAATTCTACTTACCACGCTTTCAATGTAATTAACATGATCAGATTTTAACGGGCAACACCAAAGAATTCAGATGTTATCTAGTTTATGAATAATGCTAGACTGCGCATACTATTTAAATAAAACGCTATAAACAATAGTCTCAGTATCTACATGAAATATTATCACTGATATCAATTTAAAATAACTGATAAGTATAAATAAATTATCAATTTAACAATATGATAAAGTTTGAACGATGCTAACAAATGCAATAAAAACATGTAGTATACGCACGCACAAACAAAAAGCATCTAAAAATATCTACTGGCAGATATGACTTGTGGTGTGGTTGTTAATGAACTTGTTATAAAACAAGGAGAAAGAGTTTGTTTCTTTGTCCCAAAAATCAGATGAAAAATACTGGTAAAATTTCAAATTTCTAACAAAAAATATAATTTAAAAAAAAATAATAGCAACTAATTAAACCTCAGTTTTCAACTGCATCATTATCACCATCGTTTTACGTGAAAGCACGGCTTCCATTTTTCCAATGGATGCTTTTCATTACATAAAACTTGGTACATTATAAAATGGTTATTTAATATTCTAATCTAAACAATAATAATTTTTTCACAAAAAATTAAAAATCATGACTCTCAAACAAGAAAATATGTTTTGAGATCTAATCACAGCGCAAATTCAAAAAAATTTTGATACAAATACTTATTTATAGCTAAAATGGGTAGATGGCTGAAAATGTACGTAGTTGTAGTAGGACATTGTTTGACAAGTTATTGCTATTTTGTGAAAGATATATTTTACATTATCATCAGAGATTTTATGCTTTACTTTATTTTTACTTTCTGCATTTACTCTCGGTTACGTCGTTTAGCCAATTTTGACTGTATCAGTTTTGTTATCAACGACCCTCGTTTGGATACATGAAAACATTGTTTTAATTTTTTTTAAATTCACACAAAGACCTTGCTGTCCTGAACATCGTTGATGAAATAATATTAAACAATTTTACTTGAGGCTTCAACAAGTAAATTTCATTTACGTTGAATGAATGTTCCAAAATTTTGCAATGTTTTTAATTATTATTGCATAGACACATAAAATACACTGTGAGTCTAGCGGATGATTGACAATACTACAAAGATAATATACAATACAAATTGTAATCAAGCGACAAAAACAAAATATTATTTCTCAAGAAATGTAATGGACAGCAGTAAAAGTATTATTTGTGAGGTAGACAGATTGTTCCTGTCTGTAACGCTAATAAATCTGAACATAAATGAGAATATTCATACCAGTGATGATGTTGACCCTAAAAATTAACAAGAATAACTATTGTATCAGTAGCTGGAACAAAATTTAATATTAACAAACAACATGAATGGAAAGAAATTGTTACATCAATAAAAGCATTATAACCTAATTTTTCACCCTCAATGGCCATCCAATGATTGAAGAAATTTTCGTTCGAACAAGTGTGGAACTACTTTATGCCTGTGAAATAATTGTTGATGCTCATGTTAGTCATTCTGTATGCAAGCCACTTTATTTATGGATGAACTAATTAATATTTGACCATGATTTTGCAACTGTACAAATTCTACGTAAACCTTATCGGGAGCATGACTAAATGCAGAATAGGAAAGACCATTTTCAGATAAGTCACTGGAGCAAATCCAAATCCACATAAGATGGCCAACTGCAATAGTTGTATAAATGTGAATAGATGTATCTTTCTTTGTGGAACTGTTCTTATGTAGTGGTTTGGTGGGTAAGCCGCCTGAAATTTAAAAACTCATGTTACAATAAAAGCAACACAATTAGCATGCTCCTAAAATGTATGTCGAATACAAACGTCAGGTGAATTTATTAGCAAGACGATCTACCTGTTCAGTCAGAAGTAGCATAATTCTTTCAAACATTTGATTGCTGTGGAGGGCAGTGATTGCTAGATATAAAAATAAACCATCCAACACCGGCCTTGGTATACTTTGCAACTTGTCTATAAAATGAACCGAAAGCCCTATGAGTATGTGAGATAATATTCCTGTAACCCGTGTTTCTCGTACGCTCACAATCCTGGCGAGTTTACAATTTAGAATGGTTGTCAACAAAAGTTCGTGTGACTATACTACTAGTTCACAGATAATAAAAAGTCTTACTTTAAGTGGACACGCCCTTGATACACTCTGTCCTCCTTGTCTGCCATGGCTCTGACATGCAACGGAGAGTGTGGCAGAGCTCCGTGAACCATTGGAAGACCTAGAAAGCTCAATATGGCGTTTATTATCGCTATAACTACTAGATCCCAGTGGTAAGCCGGGCCTTTTTTGAGTCTGTAAAATTAAACATTTCAGAATTATTAGGTAATTCAAATTTGGTATTAAGGCATGGCGATCTTGTCATTTTAAAATTTTGCTTTGCATCATCCGGGGTGAGCCTTTATTTGAATGAAAGACTGCTAAGCCCGGAAAATACAAAATAAAATATAGATAACACCAAGGTCGCCATTCCTTTCTTGAATCTAATTGGTTACTAAAAAAATCTATTTTTCAGAAAAGTAACTAACCTGTTATCTGGACTGTTAACAATGGCACTCGCTGTGTTCTGATCCATAAAAAATAACAAAGACAAGCAAAACCCTAATGCCATAGCTCCCAAGACAACAGTCCAACCTGAAAAATTAAGCATGTAGTCATTTATTTCAATTGAGCAATAGCGAAAATGAATTACACAGATCAATTATTCATTTTGCATGACTTACAATGTTAAAGGAAATTTGGCAATTAACTTACTTAAGTTTAGCATGTCTCTCGGCAATTTGAACAAATCTCCTTTATCGATTACTTGAAATTTTTTCACTGGATTAAATGTTGCGATTTAACAAATTTTATTCTTGCAAAATCATAATATGAAGAATTTTATTTTACAGGGTTTAAACAAAAATGTTAACGATAAAAATGTTAACTCAAATATTCAATGAAGGAACTAACAGTTGACTTCCCTAAAAACGTATGAACCAAAGAAAGACATGAGGATGACGGAAACTGGTAGAGCACAGTCAGCTAGCAACTCACGCTTACTTGCATTTAAAAACGGACTGAATTTGAAGGTAGTTTGTTATATTTGTGGCTAAATTATTGGATGTTTAATTTGTTAATCGTTTAATTCGTTTTTATGTGTTATGACAAGTTGAAGCTCAATCATTTTTATTGATCGTTATTCTGCGTCTACTCTTCAATGCGGTTGAATGGTGTGGCGTGTGATCGAGCAAAACGACGGGTTAATGGACAATAAAATTAAAAACAAAATGGGTCTATCAATCGAATTATTACATTAAAATTCATTCACAAATCACATTTTTCGAGCCAAAAATAGGTCATTGAATAAATTCAAGTTTTATATTAAAACTTTAATAATATTTTGCGTTGTAATAAGTAAACCTTACGAGATTAAATCAAATTTTATTACAACTGAGAACAAATATAAAAAAGAGATTTTCAAGTGTTATTTCTTGCATTCCTTACAACAGACACTGAATAACAAAAACGCATTAACGAAATTTGTAGTTTGAATTTCTTTATATTTGCAGTAAAAAACTAAAACAAATCACCGACAATTACATTTATTGTCAGGGAAATAAGAAAATGGGATGTAACAAAAGGTATTCCGTGCGGTGCCGATTGTTTAATCAAATTATTTTATAAAGACTAACGTTTTTGTGAAGTTGTACAGAGAGAGGCCTAGCCACACTGTTCCAAGCATCAGTAGCAAGTACAAGAGACTGTTTTCTCTAAGGCATTCTTCAAGATGATATTGCAAATTTTATAAATGTTGTTTCTTTTCTTCACAACGTCACTCAAAATTATATTGTAAAAAATATTTCTTAAATTTATTTATCAATTAAACTGAGTTGAACGAATGTCTATGTTTTTAATAGAAAAATTGTTATAGTTATTCAGAACAAAGTAACAAAAATTTGTTAACAAAGCCTTACCATTACCGGTTTCATCATCGCCATCATTTTTATGATCTTTGTTGTTGGTGTTAATGGAATAAGTATCAGCTATTGGTGGAGAAGATGATGACGAGAAGAGAGACAGCGGCGATGAGGATGATGACAGTGATGATGTTAGAGCAGATTGTATTGCATTGGTTATGATGGAGTCGTTGGTCAGCGTGTGGTAATAAGATGATGAAGAAGAGGACTGCAGGCATGCCTTCGAGTTGTAATTTTCGTGGAAGTCTGCGTTCGTTAAAATTTGTTGTCGCGTAGTAATCAGTGATAAAAACGTTTGCATATTTTTATCTATTTATATTTCTGGCTTAAACTTATGACTACCAGATTCCAACTCATCAGTTGTGACCGTCATAATTATTCTTAGAGCTGTTTAACCGTTTCATAAAAAAATTGTGAGTTTGTTAGTTGGACTGATATTTTCTCGTCAGCAGTCATTGATAAGTGCGAACTAAGAAATTTAAAAATTCTTCCTACGTGTGATCCTATTATCATGTGTTTCTTATTTTTAATTTCACTTTTATATTTTCTCATCAAATGCTTGTGTGACAGATTTTTCAACTTTACCTATCATTCAGCCATTAACAAAATTATATTTGTAACGTTTCAATGAAGATTGTTATTAAATGCTCTGAAAGTAAGTTATTGACGCAAAAAATTTCTTTCAGTGCTCGTGTTTGAGTTGTTAGCTTCATTGTTTGTTGTTAGTGTTATCAAATTCATAAGGCTGAAATATAATCACGATGGATGAAAATGCAAGTTTGAAAAAGTAGTTAACCCAACCCACCTGATACAACGTCCTTGAAGGCGTCAAAAGCAAACGCCAAAGATATAAATATGGCAAATATTTCTTCAGTGGATCTTTTTGAAAAAATCAAACAAAAATCATTATGATAAGATATAAAAATGAAGGTCTAATGCGAGTGCTGCAGTTGTAAACGATGTTCCATGTCAAATTTTCAAGGATATTTATATGCTACTAAAGTGATAATCATTTAAAATTATTGATCGGATCATATATATCGCTCAACTACGATTTATAATTATACAATATTCACATTTCTTCAAAATAAAATGATAAAAGTCATATATTAAGTTAAATTTGATAAAACCGATTTTAGGCTACACTAGTGAGTAATTAAAAAATTAGATAAAAATTTCTTCACAGGTAGTTTGTCACCCAACCAGCTGATCAACTGACCAACCAACTAACTGAATATTGACCAACCAGCTAACTAATTAATCAACCAATCAGACTATAAATCCACTAACAAACCAACCTGGTACACCACTTCATAAGTTTGCTGGCGTCTGTGAAAGCGTAGATAAGCAAGAAAAACGAATTCCACAGGCCGATGCAGGCAAACATGGACATGAAATCTAATCCCCATTCTTGGCATATGTTGTAGATTACTGTCAAGATATCGAAATTGCTAAATGACTGAATGATTGCTAATATACACACATGCTTTAGTGGCACCAATTATTCATCATGCCCTGCACTTATCACTTATCTTTTGCTGCAATCATTCATAATTTGGAATCAATGTTTTATTACTGCAATCGCTAACGCAACACCGTAATTAAATACAATCCTCAAGTTTTTGCTCATTTTTATTTAAACGCTGCTAAGTTTGGAGGGCGAGTTAGCTCAAACGGTAGAAGTGTGTACGCCTCCATACGTCGTCATTAATGTGTGGTGGACTGGTTCAAATGTTCCTTGTCTGAACTCAGACTGTTTGTGTTAAGTGTGTAGGTGTTTGTCATATATGCAAGCAAACAGGAACATACATTTCAGGTACATACAATCGTACGCCGTCCTTGTTACAGCCCTCATGTAGTTAACACCATATGTGTATGTGTGTGAGTATGTGTTTGTGTGTGTGCGCGCGTGTATCTGTGTGTGTGCGCGCGTGTGTGAAAGAGAATCAGTTAAGCAACATGTTTGAAACCTTTAGTGTAGAGAGCTAGTGGAGCCGTCGTAAGCAATATGACCATCGGTTGTCCGCCCATTAGCGCAAAAAACAACCCACCGATAGTTTGCGAGTATATTGCTTTTGTCACATCTGCATGGAGACATGTGGAAATGCGCGATATTCATTTTTATTTCAATTTTATAGTCCGTTTATTGGTCTAATCTAAAATTGCGCAACAAATTCGGCAAATAATATTATATGTTACGGTTTGCTTTGTTTTTGCTTGCGAATTAAAATGATTAAGAACAACAAACCAGCGTACACATCTTAGTAAAATGACTCACCAATTTTTCCACTGGTATTGTTATAGTTTAATACTCCAAGGGCAATGGCTGGAAGGATGCAAGCAAAGTAGAGGAAGAAAGTGGTTGATACTGTTTTGTGTAAGGTGTTCTGACCGACAAATCCTTCAAAAAATACATTGTTATTATAAAACTGGTAAATCTCTAAGAACCAGTAACAAAATTGTAATTATGATTTGAAAAATAAATATATACCTAAATAAATGCGTTAAATGTTAACTCGTACCGTCTTTGAAATCCGAGAGATAGTGAGGAAGCCTCCTCTTCAGGTCCTCCCTGATGCCCCTACCTATCCAGCACATTCGGGACGAGCTCTGTAGGCGCGCAATTGTTTAACAAAAACCTTTTTTTTGCATTAGATAAGTTAAATAATTATTATAGATAGTAATTATTTAATGATTGGAAATATTATTTTGATCGACTTTTGCACCTGCGGGTCGACCATTTTGCAGTTTGAATCTCCAGACATTTTTCTCTTGCTGTTGTCCTCGCACTGTTCCTCGGCCAGTTCCTTCATGTGTTCCCACATGACCTGCTTGAACTCCTGCTCGGTTCGAGCCCCTAGCAAGCGCAGTCGAAGATCAATATCGGCAAATAATGTGGCAAATGTTCGACCAGTCTCCAATGCATTCTTTGTACCTTTCTGAAGCGTGCGGAAGAGATTTGTTAGATAGAATTCGTTTATACGTTGCAAAAATACCTTCGTTCAAACCAGTAGCATACCAATATCGTAGCATATCACACAAACAACAATCGACATTCAACAACATTCAACATCAACAACCGCATCATTTTCTTTTTAAGTATAAAAACCAGGGTGTCGGAGTCGGAAAACTTTTTACCCGATTGCGACAGCCTGCTGATAAAGCTGGACCGACGCATGCATTGTTGCATTGTTCGTTGGCATGATGGCACCGCACGACCACCATCGCCAGGTCGAAATAAGGAAATGCGTTTGAAACAGAATAACAAATTTAACAACGTGAAAAAAACAACAATAATAACAACAATAAAAACGGGAAACACCAAAAATGATAACAATTTGAAAGACGCAAAAAAACAACAGCATCGTAATATCAGACAACCACAGCGGCAAGAACGATGTTAATAAATGCCTCTTTAGTGGATGTGACAACCATGATGATGAACCAGACTTCCTGACAAGTTCGTCCCAAATTGGCAGGACTTCTGAGACGGGCGATCGCCACGTGTCGCTTCTGTACGGTGGCCGCAGTGCAGCTGTCGTGTTTGCGTCATTAATTGCGTAACATTTGTGAAATAATTTTAATTTTATTTGCCTGTTGTATGTTTGTTGAGAGAGGTGGAAGGCTATTTGTATGATTATATTTTATTGGAATGCATCTCACAAATTTTATTTAGTATAATATAGTCGGTATCAAATATTCTGATGGCATTGTGCAATATACTACGGCATAAGTTTTCGAATGTATCTAAAAATAAATGATACAAACAAAGAGGTTGGTAAGTTAGCTCAGTCTTCAGAAGTGCCATGTCTCGTTACACGATGGCCTGGTTCGAAAACTACCTGTCCGAGACTCAAAGACCATCACACGCGTACGATGCGGTGCTTGCGCGTGCACGCATAATGTGTATATGCGTCGTGTGGTGTGGCTAATACACATGGGATTCAATATTTAGATGAGAAAACATTACGGTTCTTATTGAAAATGCAGAAGACTAAACAACTGACAGAACGCAAATCCAGGACTGGTCGTAATCGTATGAACCGCCGTAGGAGCTGCACGTGCATTGGATGGATTTCGACAGCTGGTGTGCTGCATGCAAGTTGATACAGACGTGTTTTAATTGATGTTTTTGCGTATGGTAAAATAAAAATTATAACGAGTTCAGAAAATGTTATAAAAATTTTGAGAGGAGATGTAAGTTGAAGGTGACACCGATGAAGCCTAACTGACCCGTGGCGTCGGTGAAGAGGGCCCTGCTGGCTTCCTGGAACGCACTGACGCTCTCTTCGTGGTCCATCAAGTGATGTAGCATCTCGTTGAGGATCTGTTTCAAGTCGTTTTCTTGCACGTCCAACATCAGCTGAGCCTGCGGTGTTGTTCCTCTTCTTAATATTGCTTGTGTTGTTTTAATTGCCGCCAAATTTGGTGCTGCTGATATGATGTCATTCTCATCCCGATGTGGTTCGCAGTTTGATATTTGTAAAAACCGAGCAGTATAATATCACTAATGCTTGTGTTTATGATAATGAACTGTGGTTATCTGGTGTAAATATAAGTTTTGTTTAAATTTGCTTATTTTTAATTAATCTAGACTCGCAGAATAGAAAGTTTTTGTGAACATAAGCTGTTGTAATATCTGTAAGTTTGTGGTCTATTATCATCATCATTATCACCATGACCACTATAATCATCGTCATCAAAATCATCATGATCATCACCATCATCACAGTCATCGTCACTCACCTGACTGAGGAACTGTTCAACATCCAACATCCACAACATAAGTTTGTGGTCTATTATCATCATCATTATCACCATGACCACTATAATCATCATCATCGTCATCAAAATCATCATGATCATCACCATCATCACAGTCATCGTCACTCACCTGACTGAGGAACTGTTCAACATCCAGATGCGCTCTTATCTCGGCGGCAAAGTCTTTCATGGGAATTTTCTGCAGGCGTGAGAATATTTTCAACGTTGAATTCCAAATAATGCATTCCATCAAATAATTCCAGAACGCTGATCTTATATAACGTTACGAATCACTACTCATCCACAACAACAACATTTACGTAAACCACAACAGCAAGAAGAAGTTAAACTGAACTAACTTCCAGTCTGGTGTAAACAAGGGATACCTCCTCTTCCTCGTCTGCAACATTCAATCAATGTGGGTTCATATTAGTTAAACAACAACTTCTGTATAAAAACAACAGCAGCATCAACAACAGCAGCAGCAACAACAGCAGCAGCAACAACAACAACACAGCCTAGCACTAATCGTAACAAACAGTTTTGTCTGTGAAGACGGATAAGACAATCTTTTTAAATTTTATAAAAATTGAAACAACTACATATCTGAAATGATCAGCAACATGGCTGTTTGTTTTATAGACACAACATAACCCAACCACAATAAAGAGACAGGTTCACGGTATCAACACAAAATAATTATTACAACAACGGTGCTTATGAAAAAAACTCAAGATATGCGCTATACAAATTCAAAAATATAGAAATCATATAAAACAACTGCTTCACAGAACAACTGACTCGTGAAGGTCACAAAAAAAGGTTCATAGCCGAACAAGTAAGTGTTAAGATGCCACAACAAACAACCGCACAATAACAAAGTCAACTAGAGCAACAAAGTCAACTAGAGCAACAGATGCCAATGCCAACCATCGACAACAACTTGAACAACAGATCATCATCAACAACTAGGAAGGATCATCGAGAAGAGCAACCTGAGCAACCTGGATAGTTGATACTCAGCATACTCTCTCTGCATTCTTGAGGGTTTTGATTGATGGCCAGAAAGCTGCCTCTCTGCGTCATCACCAACGTTTTGCCCCTCCCACCTGCTTGCAATTGATAGGCTGAGCCGTAATGGCCTTGACCCTGTTGTTCCTGTTGATTCCAATTGGTTGGCGAACTTGGCCGTTCAAATGTTATGGAAGGCAACCCTAAGTGCAATCCTAACAGTTAATATTTCACAAGTTTGATAATATAATTAATCTCGTTGAATAAAAAAATTTTTCATTGAAAATATTTTTCAGTTTAATAAATTTATTTCAGAGTGAAATTTATATCAATACAGTTTCAAAAATTGTTAATTAAAATATGAATTGGTAATGAGCAATAAAAAGAACATAAAATTGCCATCAGAACGTGAAAGTGTCAGAAAACTAAAAAAAATTTGCAGTTCGTTTGGCGTTATTTACGCCCTCTATTAAGGTGATGCAATTTGTACGCTCCACGTATTTGGCAACATTTACAAGCAAGCAAAAAAGCAGCAAAGAGATAACAATCAACTACGCAACACAGCAACAACTTGTTCACCCACCTCTTCACCTCTTGTAACCACCTACCTGATACCACCACCCACCTGAAGCAACCACCCACCTGATACAACCACCCACTTAATGCAACCACCCACCTGATACAACCACCCACCTGATACAACCACCCACCTGATGCAACCACCCACCTGATGCAACCACCCACCTGATACAACCCTCCACCTCGTGCAACCACCCACCTGATGCAACCACCCACCCACCTGATGTTCGTCTGCTGGTCACTGGAGAACTCGGCCTGGAGACTGACTTGCCATCGTACCAGCCTGGTGAGGTGTTGGCGTCCGCTGGTGACCTGTCTGTGGGGAAGGCCAGGGTGACGGAACAACTTCGACGCAGATTGGAATCATAGTAATCCAGCGCCGAAGGAAATGGGAATGCCTTGCTTGCTTGGTTCCTCAACGGTTGATCTAAAGCTGCAGCTAATGATGATGGTGTTGTACATTTTGTTGTTATTAATGGTATGGTGGAAGAATGTTTTAGTAGTAATGGTGATGTTTTTGTACGAAGTTTGTGTTTGTATGATGTTTGTGTTTGTAAGATGTTTGTGTTTGTACGATGTTTGCGTTTGTACGATGTTTGTGTTTGTATGATGTTTGTGTTTGTATGATGTTTGTGTTTGTATGGTGTTTGTGTCTGCTTTTTTAAGTGTTGTCAGAACTTTTATAAAATAAAGAAACATCACCACTTACAACGGGCATCGTTTATTTCTTATTACAAAACTCTCTCATTTTACTAACGAAATTGAATAAACGCATTCTAATTGCCAAACAAATGAATGTGCTTGCTGTATTTTTCACGTAATAAACCTCAAACTGTTTGAAAGATGTCATTTCTGCTGCATTATTCACGTCAGCACACCTAATGTCTGAGAGTTATGCGGAAATTCAATTATGACATCACCATGTTTCATGGCCTTGCTATATAGCTTTGAAGAGCACCCAAACATTCAAACGAGCTTACGAAAGTTGCTTGTGATGGCAGAACGTTGATGATATGAGAGTGATTGCTTTGTGTCGCTCGTTGTACGAATGCAAATTTCATTCAAAATGTAATTTCAACAATACTGCCTTATTTATTAACTTTACTTCAAGTTTATTAAAAAATTACAGTGTTTAATAAATAAGTAAAGGTATAATAATTAAAAAATGTATTAAGTAAAAACGTAATACTTCTTTGCTTGTTTGGCTCCGGTTTGCTGGTTGCGGATTGAAAGCTTGCTGTTGAGTTGGCAGCCAGCAATTTAGTTCTTTCGTTAAAGAGATTTCCCGCCAAACTTTTTGGTGCGTAGGTGGTCTGCGTGCAGTTGAACAGAGAGTTGCAGCTGACGGAATTTTTCATTTCGTCGAAGGGAATCTGTTTCTTTGATTTACGAATCTTTGCATTTTTCAATTTCCCCGATCCCCCACTCAACGTCCTCTGTCTAAACTGGCTTCCGAAACCTGAAATTGTATTCTGTGCGTCTGCTCGCTGACCGCCACTCAATTTTTTTACGTTTGCATTTTTGTTGAAAAACGTATCGCCAAAAAAATGTTGTTGTCTGTTGGCGTTGGTGTTGTTGCCTTCATTGTTATTGTTAGCAATGCTGTTACTGGAGGATGGTTTGACGATGACGATGCTGCAACCTGCTGCTTCCACCAGCGGCTTCACTGACGTCATATCCATTCAATTCACCGACAGGTCTTAACTTTGGGCTCTCAACAGCTTCAACGTATGCACTGCAATTCAACGATAGTTGGAGTCTTTAAAAATTAATTTAAATTGTATTGGTTTTAATGTTAAATGACAAAAAAATTCTGTTAAACGAAAATTTCGTATTAAATAAAAAAGAATAAAATGCCATTTTTTGAATTTAAGGACAAAAAAGGAAATAATTATTGTAACATATGGCCAATGAATGACGACCTAATTATAATGAAAGTCTTCAGTGCCCGAGAAGAGCTCTACAAGACAATAAGGTAAACGCGAAAACAAACAAAACAAATCTGAAGCAACGCAGACCAGCACTCAGAAAAGCATCAGTATTCGAAGCAACACAACAGCATGGACAAACACCGCACATTGAAACAACCAAACAAACACACGCACACAGCACACACAAGATTCAAAAACAACATTCAATATTTACAAACAAACACTCATGTCTATGCATTTTATTGGAAATATCTTGTTTTCGTTGCTTCGAGGATCTTCTTCTATTTTACAATCCATGGACGACTTACTGGCCTCAGTTCACAAAAATGTAAATTCGAAGGCAAGTGCATAAAAACTTTGTCGTCATTTATCCTTTAAGACAACAATTTGATAATTTTTTAAACGGTATTCCTCAGCCGCGGATGGGATTTGAAATGTTGTCTTCATCGATAAATACGTTATCTTCAATAAATTTTGAAACTTTTTAATTTTCAGGGATTTTAAACGATTTGAAAACCTGTAAGCTGTTCGTTGCAAACCTGTATTTATCATCATACAAACATGTCTCAACCGCTAGAAGGCATTCGATTTTGTTTGCCCCCCTCCAATGATAATTTCCATTTTTTTTTCTAAATTTCGTACGTATAATATCTAAGCAGATTTTTTTTTACAAGTGTGCAAAGCATTTGAATTACGCCCGAGAATGCATGCAGAGGGATGCTTCTTCAACAAACTCACTGCGATATCGTAATTAGTTATCCGAGACGTAATTAGCAAACAAGCGTTAAATAATTCACTAGTAACTTTTTGGAGTCCAAGTTGTCTTTGCACAGAGCAACATGTAGCAATACAATTAACCATTCGTGGCATGCAGTGATTGAAAGTTTCGGCAGTATTTCAACTTCATATATCAATCAGTAAAACTGTTCACATGTATTGATACTGTATTATTTCTCCGAATATTTTTTTAAAATAAAGATTTAATGAAATTATGAGTGAAATGTTAAAACTAGTGAAAATCATGCATTTGAGATATTGCAAAATATTATATTCCCCAAAAATATAATTGCACGGTTTAATTGAATGCTGAATTATTAAACATGAAAACTTTATTTCAAAGTGAGGCAATGGATTTGTATAGGTACATTCTGAATATTTCACTCACTTTCTACTTTATTCATGCAAAAATTTATGATTTATTTAGCTATGATAGACTTCAATTATATATACACTAAGTAAAATTTACCATAACTTTAATAACCCGTACCAAGAACCGAACCGTTTCGTACGCCATCTCTCGCTGGTAATGAAAAATATTTCTTCAAACAAAACTTCAAAAATACTTAAGCGACGCATAACTGAGACATCTGGTCAATGTGCGTCATAAACAAAAGGATGCCAGATACAAAATGATACCGGATATAAAGTGGTGTCAGATGTTAAATGATATAAGATACAAAATGATGTCGGATACAAAATGATATAAGATACAAGATGATATAAGATACAAGATTTATTTGTCAGTTTACTATGCACAATTTAAAATTATTTTTATTAATTCACCAATTTTAAGTTAATCGAAGAAACTGTTAATGTAATAATAACAAGTGACTTAAAAATTTTAAAAATTTCTACAAATGAAACGTCTTCAACTTTTTGTAAAAAAATAAAATATTTCAAGCACATCCACAATGAAAAGATAAAAATTTTGTTGAGAAGAATACAAAAA